AAGGATACTGCAAAATCCCCATTCCAGGAGAAGGATACTGCAAAATCTCCATTCCCTCCCCACTCCAGGAGAAGGATACTGCAAAATCTCCATTCCCTCCCCACTCCAGGAGAAGGATACTGTAAAATCTCCATTCCCTCCCCACTCCTGGGGAAGGATACTGCAAAATCTCCATTCCAACCCGGTCAGCTGGGGCATGGGAGGCAGAGAATAGATGGGGGTGGGCCAACCAGAGGTGGTATTTACCGGTTCTCCAAACTACTCAAAATTTCCGCTACTGGTTCTCCAGAACTGGTCAGAACCTGCTGAATACAGGGCGTGTGGCCCACTCGGGCTGCAGTTTTGGTAGCAACGGCCTCCTGCAGCCCCCTGCCAGTGAAAAAGGAGCTTGGGGAGGCCATGTGCTGCCCGCCTGGGCTCTATTTTCTACCTTGATGGCCTCCTGCAGCCCTCTGGAGCTCAGGCAGTCCTCCTGAGGTCTGTTTTCTCTGGCAGAGGCACCACAGCCTGGTGCTTCACTGTTTCCAGGGAGAGCCCATGGGCCAAATCTAAGCACCCTGTGGATTGGATCCAGCCCTTGAGTCTTGAGTTTGACACCCCTGAACTAGATTGACTTCAGACATGGAAACTGAGGAGATGCTATATCACAAACTCAGTTGGATTTTACAGGGTTATTCCCACAACCTGAAACTAGAGTTATAAAAATTGATTCAAAATACATTTAGCATTTCAACCTTATTCTGTGAAAATCCATGAGCACTAACACTAACATTAACAAAAGCTATCACCAAAAAGACAACGTATTAAAAATGTAAGTGTGCGGCCAAATAACAATGTTTTTTTCCCCTGTGGCAGCATCCCCCATCTTGTATGGAATTTTACCAGTCCTTTTTCCTGCTAAGCTTGAAAGATCATTGAACTATTGCATGTGCTTCTTTAAAGCAAAAGAGAAAAATACCCAGGGTGATAGGAACAATCTAAGTATGACATAATTTGACAAGTGTGTCAAGATACAGAAGTGTAAAGTGTGTGTTTTATGTGCTTTTGAAATCAGCTTCAAAGACCTACTTGGATGGCCTTACTACCCCATAAATCACAATTTACTCATCAAGCTGGTTGCTTGTCAGGATTTATTTGTTCCACAAATTAAAAGTCAAGTAGAGAATGGCCATTGAAGTGTCCCAAAGGTGCTTTTTCTCCAAAAGACAACTGGACTTCTTGGTTTTATCTTTGAAAACCAAGAATGAGATTTAATTCAGTTGCTTTTTTGGGGGTGGGGGGAAACACCTTTGGGACAACCATGACCTGGATGATTGAGAATCTCCATAGACATTAAAACATCAAGTCTACAAGGTTCCTGCAGAGAACAACTATCCAAACGAGTACCTTGTTGAACGAAGGCTCCGTACACTATCCAAATGGCGCTGTGAAGCGTGGAGGAAGTGCAGGCTCCAGATTGAGAGGAGTTCTGGGCTCTGACTGCTTGGATTCGGTTCAGCACGAAGATGAGGACCCCAACCACCGGGATCGCAGCAGCTATGCAAGTCCACACAGCAAAGTCGAAGGGGGCAAAGAGGGAGAAGATGTTGATCTTCTCCTCCGGTTTCTTGATCAAAATGCCTACAGAGTAATCCATGTAGCGCTTGCTGAAGTCGACCACGCTCTCTCGTTCAGGGGTGATGGTGATGGCGGAGATGGCTAGGTCAGCTCTCTGTGGAGACAAGAGAAGGAGTGGTGAAAACCCCTTGCTGGCTAACTCAGCCACCTCACAGAAGCAGAAGAAGGATTCTGCTGTGAAGTATACTGGGACAATGTCTACCTCCAGCAAACATCAGGCTTTGCTTCAAGAATTTATGGCATGGTGTAGCATGAATATCTTATCTTTTATTTTATTTATTTCATCAAGTATGTATTAGATAACATATATAAGTATAAACATGATTTTGGATACATGAAATGGATATGAATAAAAAGAAACATTAGGACAGCGACGGAAGGCATGTTGGGGTGCTTATGCATGCCCCTTGCATACCTCTTAGGAAAGGGGTGAGGTTGACAGTAGACAATCTAAGGTTAAAGTTTTGGTGGTTTGGGGAAGAAACCACAGAGCCAGGTAGAGCATTCCAGGCATTGACCATTCTGTTGCTGAAGTCGTATATTCTGCAATCGAGTTTGGAGCGGTTTACCTTAAGTTTTTATCTATTGTGCTAGTGTATTGTTGTGGTTGAAGCTGAAGAAGCCATTGACAGGTAGGACATTATACCAGATAATTTTATGTACTACACTTAGGTGAGACCGAAGGTTGTCTGAGCCCAAAATTTCAAGCCTGGTGGCATAAGGTATTCTGTTGTGAGCAGAGGAGAGGCGGCCTCTTCTCATGAAATATCTCTGGACTCAATTTATGTATCTCGCTCAATTTATTAATGTCTGACATGCAGTGCGGTTTCCAGACAGATGAGTTGTATTCGAGAATTGATCTAGCAAATGTTCTGTATGCTTTGGTTAGCAGTACAATATTACCAGAGAAGAAGCTTTGCAAGATTAGGTTAACAACTCTTAATGCCTTTTTGGCAATGTTGTTACAGTGGGCTCTGACACCTACATCATTAGATATGAGTACTCCAAGGTCCTTGACAGAGTGAGGTTCGTCTACAAGGTTGCATCCACCCAGCTTGTATTTTGTGTTCTCATTTTTTTTTGCCAATGTGTAAGACAGAGCATTTGTTGGTTGAGATTTGAAGTTGCCAATCGTTTGACCATTCTGACATGTAGTCAAGGGTAGCAACAGTCAGTGGTGTTAAATAGTTTTACATCATCAGTGAAGAGAACGCAGTTGCTTATAATACGATCGCAAAGGTCATTTATGTAAAGTATAAAGAGTGTTCATCCTAATTTGGTCTTATTCAGTCAAAACCTTTGGACACTTAGACATGACGAAAAGGCCTCCCATGGGCCAGTCAACCTTCCTAACAGTGGGATGAAGAAATCTGCTACAAGGGACACTGTGATGGGGAAATAAAAGAAGGGAGTTCTTCTGAAGTCACATTTTCCCTCTGGAAGGTTCAAATTATCTAGCAGACAGAAGGATGAGGTTGTAATTATTGCTGGTTTCTCAGTGGACAAGAAACAGATAGCATAGGAGGTAATGCCACTTGTTGGCCAAATCATAGCAATATTCCAATACAAGGAAGAGGGGAGTCAACCTATTCTCCAAAGCACCTGAAGGTAGGGCAAGAAGCAATAGATGAAAACTAATCAAGAAAAGAAGCAACCTAGAACTAAGGAGAAATTTCCTGACAATTAGAACAATTAATCAGTGGAACTGCTTGCCTTTAGAAATTGGTCCTCCAACACTGGAGGTTTTTAAGAAGAGATTGAAGAGGATGTCTGAATTGGTGTAGGGCAGGGGTCAGCAACCCTTGGCTCTGGAGATACACGTGGCTCTTTCATCCCTCTGCTGTGGCTCCCTGTCGCTGGTTGGCTCCACAATTGATAGGGTTTTCGGTTAGGACAGGTAGAGGAAAAAGGATGCCACACTAGGAGGAGACTTCCAATCAGCAGAGGAAAAAGGACACCGTGCTTGGAGGAGACTCTATGGTGGGGGAACTGGACTTCCAGTTGGCTCAAGAATTGAATGTGGGGGCTTCCAGTTAGGACCTTTGTGGCTCTTTGAGTGTTGATGTTTGCCAACCCCTGGTGTAGAGTCTCCTGCTTGAGCAGGAGGTTGGACGAGAAGGACCCCAAGGCACTTTCCAACTCTTCCTGCTTCCCTATTTGCTATGTTCTTCTAAAACTGTTCTGATGCAATTCCAAACTGGGAAGACTTGCTTCAGAACTGCTACAGGCTCCCTAACGTAGGAAAGCAAAATCATTTCTGGCCTTCTTTTCTTTTTTCATTCTGAGATGAAAGGGTTTAGCTATTAAAAGCCAATCAAATAATGCAGCCCAATTGCCAGAGCAATTCTCAGATTGTATTTTTAAGATTGCTTGTTTGAATGCTGTGCCACTAAAAATAACTTCCTAATGCAAAGAAAACAGCACATGAGGCAGAAGATTAATTTAGGATGCTTCTCTCTGTTACGGTCATTTTTTGAGTAAGCGGCAGGGAGAGATTTTAAGGAAAAACTTAACTATGCAAATTTCCACTCTCATCCTGAATGAGAAAATATACCCCAAGGTTTTCTAATAGCAAAATGACTTTAAATGCAAAACTTCTATTATATATAGACACTAGCTGCAAACCAGTGCTTTGCGATGAAACTGTGTGATCGTGTTATGCAGGAGAAATTCGGTTCACAATGGTGGTCAGCAATTGAAACACATAAGGGAATATCGCTCCTGCCACCTTGAGTCTGGAAGCAGTTCCATAGGTTTGAAGGCATAGACAGGTTTGAGGTACTGGTGTTTAATACTGTAAGGAGCCCCAGATTGCTCCTGAGTGAATGAGTGAAATGTCTGCCAGTTTGAACTGAAGTAATGGAATGTGGGGCAACTGGCAGTTGGAACAGAGTTCTTTTCAGGTGGGAAGGGGAAGTAGAATGTCTAACTCCTTAGCATCAGAGCATGTTAATAACTGTATAAGAAATACTGATGATCTGATGGTCATTTTGAAAAATCCTTTCTTTGTGAGCACCTCGAAGCCAAGAGATATATGCCAAATTTCAAGTTTGTAGGTTTTAGAGTTCTGGAGATTTCATGATGAGTGAGTGGTATTTGGCTTTTATATATATATACATACAGTACATACATACATACATACATACATACATACATACATACATACATACATGTATGTTGCATTTGTGCTGATAAATAAATAAAGGGAGACTAGTATAGATCTATTTCAAGCTATTTAGCTCTCATCAGTTAGCCATACCCTTACTGGGAACTGAACCTGGGCTGTATTAAATATTAGGCAGTTGTATTAGCCACAGGCTCTCCTCCTTTATCAGCTGTGTGTGTGTGTGTGTGTGTGTGTGTGTATGTGTGTATATATATATGTATGTATGTGTGTATGTATGTATGTATGTATGTATGTATATACACACATACATACACACACACACACACACACGCACGCACACAGAGATAGAGAAAGAGATAAAGATAGAGATAGACATATAGATATAGATGATAGAGATAGATATATAGATAGAGATATAAATAGAGAGAGAGAGAGAGGAGAGAGAGAGAGAGAGATATGATATAGATGATAGAGATAGAGATAGAGAAGGAGAGATAGAGATAGATATATAGATGTAGATATAGATGATATAGATGATATAGATATAGTGAGATAGAGATAGAGATATATAGATATGTAGATATAGATGATATAGATATATTCTAGGTTTTCACGGGTGTAGGTATGCTGATCTTTTTGTATTTGCATCTTTTCCCATGTAAGATTACAATAACAATCTTACACGGGAAAAGACCCAAATACAACAAGACCAGTGCGCGCGCGCACACACACACACACACACATTATATAGGCATTTAAAAAGTTCAGATGCACTGGATGGAGTACTTGAGTACAGGTTACTCCTTGACGTATGACCACAACAGGGGCCAGAATTTTTCGTGCTAAGGAAGGCAGTTGTTAAGTGAGTGTCACTGAATATTACAATCTTTTTTTGCCAAGGTTGTGAAGCAAATCAGTGCAGTCATTAAGTGAATCATGCCATCATTAAGTGACTCAAGCCTCCCCAATGAATTGCTAGTTGGAAGCAAGCTGGGGTGGTGGTGGTTGCAAATGGTCCTGCATTTGGCCAATTCATGTGGCCATGGGGTGTTCCAACCATCATAAATGCATGCTGGTTGCCAAGCACACAATTTTACTCACAGAACCATGGGGATGCTACTGGTGGGGCTGTACATATGTGTGAGGACCAGTCATAACTCACTTTTTCTCAGTGCCATTTTAACTAATCAAATAATGAGGGCATAATAATAATTCATCATAGTAGAGTGATCATTAGCTGTTTTCTGATCGGGTGTTTTGGTTTCACATTTGCATGCTAAACCTATGCTTTTTTGTATAGAAGTGCTGGATAATAGGAGAGCATTGTAGAGTCAGTAAGCAAATGGTTTGGGAATGATCACATTACTGAATATCAATGTCTGTGGTTAGGTTTTATTATTCCAGAGAACTGTAGAACATTTTCTTCTATTGCTATGACGATGTTCAGCCTCCTCAGAAACGAACCATTTGCAACAAAATGTACTCTGGTATCTGTATTCTTTAAGATGTCTTGGCTGGAATATCTTCTGCCTTATTTTAGTAGCATAGACTTACAAGTCAATGCCACTCTTTCGGATTCAAATGTGACTCAATCTCTTTGTGATTTGTTTTCTATATTTTTCAAGCCTGTTTTTTTTTAAGAAAACAAACAAGATTTTCTTCCTTGAAAGCTATTCAACTGATCACTATAAAAGAGTATTACAGTGGAGAAAAAACCCATAAAGGAAAGATAGTTTGCAGCAAAATGGAAAGTTTTTTTTCCCCATAAGCAAATCACATCAGAAAATGCTCCATTAGCCATACACAGCTCATCTATGGCCACTAAACATTTCCTAAAACCTAAATATTAGCTAAATATTCTTAGGTAAAAGAATTAATCCTAAATATAACATGGAAAATTTCCCAGGGATGAGGAGTGGATAGATTTCTAAAATTTAACTGATAGGAAAAGGTAACTAAACTGTGGAATTTGTGCATAATATAATACCCTGTTTCCCTGAAAATAAGACCTCCCTGGATAATAAGCCCAATTGGGCTTTTGAGTGCATGTACTAAATTAAACCCTCCTCCCCAAATAAGCCCTCCCCTAAAATATTGCAACGCAGCAGCAGCCATGAGGTGACTTAAGCTCGCCGCCTCCTGCACCTCAAAAATAATAAGACCTCCCCAAAAATAATGCCAAGTGCTTATTTCAGGGGTCAACATGGTACCAGAGAAAATGGCTTGATCATAGGACTTTTTCATATCTTCATTTCTATTGATATTAGTAACCCTGAGTTTTAGTGACCATTTCTTTAACTGCCACTGTTAAGGAAGAATGTTTTATTTTTAGGTCAGGAAAGATGGTTCAATGTAGATGGGTAAAAATGGTTTTTTTAATCCTCCCCTAAAAGAAACAGAATTCAGATAATATGGGGCATACCTTGTTAATCAGTTCGCCAATCATGCCATTCCAGGAGCTGTTATGGAGCTGTTGTCCATATTTTCCATCAGGAGACTGATAGATCTCATACTTGAAGCCCAAATTCTTGGAAAGAGCATCCAGGACATCAATGGAGAAGCCCTTATAACGTTTCGGTTGCCCAAGGATATTCTCAGCCACCATAATGAACGGTTCTTCCTGAGAACAAAGCAAGACTGATCTTTAAAGGAGACTTACAACACTACAAAGCAAAAATAGCTTGACTCACAATTTTGATGGCACCTCAATAAACTGTGGTGCCAGGTCTGGAAAATTGAAGCTTCATGTTTTGTTTTTGTTTTTCCAAGAATACAATAATTGTGAATTAAGAAAGAATTCCTCCAGTTTTCACTAATCCAGGGATTAACCTTAAAGTGGTTACACCTAAAGCATGTTTAACTTAACAATGGTTGTCATAAGAACACAAAGAGTCTCACAATTAAGTGTTGCTTTCAAAATGAATCAGAGGAAGGTGCTCATTTGCCAAACCATTGATTTTATTGTCAGTGCAAACCCTGTCCATTGTAGTCACATCACCTTTGGATGGGCCAGTTCACCCGATGACTGGAGAGAGATATGATCATGACCTTCAACAATTTGAGAGGAAAAGAGGATAAATGATGCAGGAGAGCCTACGCTAAAAAATCTCAGGAGAAGCTCCTAAATTAGCTTAAACTATGATCTGAAGGAAGATCCAAAACCAAGAGACGCACAGGAGAGAAAGTGCAGATAAAGATCTGAAGGAAGCATGCATTCCTCACACTGCCGGCACACATCTGCTGTCAGCTTGTGTTTGACATAACAAGTAAGCAAAGGTAAAGATGCTAGTCGTTTCTGGCTCTAGGGGATGGTGCTCATCTCTGTTTCTAAAGCGAAGAGCCAGCGCTATCCAAAACATCTCCGTGGTCATGTGGACAGCATGACTAAACTCCAAAGGTGCATGGAACGCTCTTAACTTTCCCATCAGAGTGGTCCCTATTTTTCTACTTTCGAACTGCTGGTTTGGCAGAAGCTGGGACAAGTAACAGGAACTCACTCTGTTAGGCAGTCCTAGGGATTTCAAACAGCTGAATTGCCGATCTTCTGATCGACAAGCTCAGCATCTTAGCCATTGAGCCACTATGTCCCTTGACATAACAAGTAGACATAAACAAATCAGTGGAAGTATACAATTCTGACAAAAAAGGAAAACATATTGAGATCGAAGTGGTTTTCAATAGTCATTTCTATGCTAGGCATAGTAGACGCAACCATAGATGTTTAAAAACTGAAGACATGAGCAAAACACTTCTATGTTCTCCTGAGAACACCATGAGCAACATAAATTGCTCACATCTCTTTCAACAGGGACTGTGGAACTCTCCCCTTTTCATTATCATTGGTTCCGACCTCCATTTTCTGCATGAACCCACTTGAGGGGAATTTTTAAGATCTGCACAATTTTTCTGTGTATGGAGTGTGTATGGTGTGATTGTTGATGAATGAACCAACCTAATTTTAATTAATTATTTAATTATTATGCTATTGTATTTTTGTATGTTTTTAATTGACTATAGTGGGGTATGTATGAGAGAATGACTGGGAATACATCTGAGAGGACTGAGGGCGCGGCCTGGTGACTCCTCCACTGAGTGCATAAGCAGAAGTGGTAGGGGGGCCCAGGCCTACCCCTCGTCCTAGAATGAGTGATAGATGTGGCCTGCCGGGAAGAGCGTGGGCCATGGGAGGGGGGGAGGTGTATGGGGATGGGGGCGGGCCAGAGCATCCCGGTCATGATGGGGAGGGGCAGGTACGATGGGGGCTACTGGGCTAGCCATTACTGGGGAAGGAGGGCTCGCTACGTCACAGCAATCCCTCGTTCCGGCCCTGTAAGCTCAACTCAAGGACCGGGTAGCAAGAGAAGCCAGGGCCCTGGTCTCAGGTTGTTGCTGCTAAATGCCAGATCTGTGATTCATAAAGCTCCCCTCGTCCGGGACTTAATACTTGATGAGTATTGGCATGTATTACTGAAACATGGTTGGGCCTTGAGGGAGGAGTCCCCCTCTCAGAAATGTGCCCGGAAGGGCTCCACCAACCACGACACCATAAAAGGGGTGGGGGAGTGGCAATTATTATCCGAGGATCATTAGCTCCTCACAGGAGGCCTGCTCCGGAGATTGTGGGGTGTGAGTCCCTTCTTTTGAAGTTGGACCTAGGGGTTCAAGTGGGCTTGCTTTTGACATACCTACCTCCCAGCTGCGTCACAACAGCCCTCTGTGCTTCTGGAGTCAGTAGCCGGGTTGGCGGTTGAGTTCCCCAGATTGTTAGTACTGGGGGACTTCTGCCGTCCCTAGGCGAACACTCTGATGGGGCCCAGGAGTTCAGGGCTTCCATGACAGCCATGGACTTGACCCAGGTAATTCAGGGTCCGACTCATAGAGCAGGACACACACTCAACCTAGTGTTTCTCTCAGGGCAGTGGAGACGTGATCTTGAGTTAAGGGGAGTAGAGATCTCAGCCTTGTCATGGTCAGATCACTTCGTGTTGAGGCTTGATTTTCAGAAGCTACTCCCCCACCGCAGGGAGGGGGAACCGATTAAGTGGTTCTGCCCCAGGCGCCTGATGGACCCGTTGGGATTTCAGAAGGAGCTTGGGGAGATACCCGACTCTCTTGCCCGCAATCCGACAGAGTCCTTGGTCGCCGACTAGAATACAACGGTGACTGAGGAGCTAGATCGGATTGCGCCTTTGCGGCCTCTCCGCGGCAGTGGATCCAGGAGGGCACCTTCCACATTTACCAAGGAACTCCGGGAGATGAAGCGCCAAAAGAGACATCTAGAGCGACGTTGGAGGGTTAGCAACTCCAAATCTGACCGAACACTACTAAGAGCCTTTACTAGGACTTATTTAGTGGCGATACGGGCAGCAAAATGTG